CACTGTTTAAATAAACTAAGGGCAATAACTCCAAAATTAGGACAAAAAGAGTTATTGTTCTTATGCACTGCACATCTACCCATTGAGATCTATTCACGTACAAAGTTTCATGTTGATATCTCTTATAGTTTTAGAGTTATGCCCCGGACAAGATTAAGGGGGAGATAATTAATAAATCGGGCAAAATAGAGTTATGGTTCTTTGACACTGCACTCCCCCTCAATGCCCTCTACAACTGTATGAAGTTTAAACAAATTATCTCCAAGGGTTTTCAAGTTATGCTCCGGACAAGAAAACGGACGGACAGACAGACAGACGGACGGACGGACAGACGGACAAGGCGCCGACTATATGCTCCCCCGAAATTTTTCGGGGAGCATAAAAATGTAAATAATAATTATACTAATAAAAATAAAAATATTGTCCATATTGTTTTTGTTACTGTAACTAAAGGCTAAGACATACTCGTGCATATAACACACTGAATCTCATTTGGTTCATATTAAACGTTAACTCATTTTCGAGGTTAATAGGATATCCATTGAGGTCTAAAGGCATATAAACATATTTTTTTAAATCTTAATTTATTTTTAAATCTAATATCAAGTGAAGCACTTAAAAGCGCTTTGTATTTTGGGCTATTGTTCATTATGACAATGATTATTCTGGAAAATCAGGATGAGCTAAATTATTGGATATGTCTTAAATCAATAAATACACAAATATCGGGAAACCATTTTCAGTCCTTCTCAATGAACTCACATTAAAGTAAGACAAAAAAGGCCAAATGTTTTACAGTTCTCATACTTTGGGTGTACAGACTGGACCTGTTTGAGGTTATATTGATTGGCGTCCGCGCCAAAGCGCGACGCCCCTTATGGAATGAAATCAGATTTTGTGAAAGGGACGACAGCTACACCTCGAGCCTTTTAGTCGGTCATAATAAAAGCCGATCATTCCGATCGGTATGAACGTGCTTGATTATTAATCAAAAATGAAATGTCGCGATATGTACAATGAATAGCGAACTGAAGAATTTCGCAATGCAAATATTTTCAAATGAAATAACCTTTTCCGTCAATAAATCGCGCCATTTGGGGTTTTTATTTATAATTTTGTATTACATAGTGGGTTATCATGGTATGTTATTGTTGTACATGTATCCAAAAGTTGTAAATTGAATGATGAGTTGATGACCTAAACATTATTAAACTCCGAAAATCTATTTAAAGAGTGTAATATCGGTAATATCGGTCATATCGGTAATTCCCGGTTTCTCCCGGTCTATTTAAACCGGGATTTAGTAGTCGTTAATTTTCCGGTCTCTCCCGGTTTTGGAGTAGATGTTTGATTTCATCACAGAAGAGAACAAATATTTTACAGATAAATAAGTTTTTTTTCCAAAAAGAGTGTTTGTCACTTAGTTTGGTTATAATAATTAATAAACACAGATCAACTCTCAAATTTATTAAATATTATTATACATAAACAAACAATTCGAAAAAAACTACAACAACAACAATAACATGTTTCATTTTATATATATATGAGATAAAAAAAAACAATAAATATGTACTATAATTGAGAGAAAAGGTACATTTTTATGGTATTAACATGACACTATCAACTTTAAAACATTTTATTTAATTTGTTATTCGTGTTTAGTAAAGATGCCGAGGAATTATTCAAAGTTACATAATTTACGACTTTTTCCAGTTAAGTTTTGACTTATAATCGTCGGTCAATATGACAATTGAATTCTTAAAATTTATTTTACAATTTTAATAAAAAAGAGTTGTAAACGTAAAAGCTCAGTATTAAAATAACACATAAAACGCAAAAAAAGAAAAAGAAAAAAATATTCATAAAATCTGTATTTTTTTATATTAAATATATATTACAATTATTGTATAATAAACATGATCAACATGGTAATATAACCAGTGTCATATTTTGAACAAGTGTGAGCAGATGCCTTAAGAAGGGGTTAATAGCGATAACATAATAAGGGACAATTATACAAGTGTGGTGTTGATCATGCGTTACACATATGGATTATAAATGAATGTATACATGTATATCCGTTGCTATTAATAATCACGATCATAAAGAAATAAGTAATATTCTAATCTCCAGCATGCCAATCAAAGTTCATAATGAACAATGTCTTTCGTGCGTTCATTCATACGTGATATACAATTCTGGTAAAAACCTATTAACCATTGAAAAGATTATAAGAATATCTTGTCATCGTATGTCTACTAGTTCATCTTCACCTGCTACATTTCTTGCTTGGACGCCCTTTGATGCTTTGCATCAATGCTTTTCTTGTATACCAATATTAAAACAAGTTGCACCATCTACTGTTACGTTTTTCTTCCCATTTGTCTGGAGGGACATTGAATATTTAAGTGCGGCATTACTTTGTCATTTAAACAATTCAATCAGATATATATTAATTATATAATTTTAATTCCTTTAAATGAACATATAGGGGATTAAGCACTTGCTGTATGCTCAAAATTTCAATTAATGATTAAACTTTAAGACATTAAACTTTTTAAAAACAATGTTTTGATTAAACTCAAATGCTAAACGGTTAAAACCCTACTTAAAACAAGCAATTATCATAGTATTGCAAGCAATTCATAAGTCCCCTACCGGTAAGAGCCCAAGCAACATTCTGAAGGGCCATTGGCCATTCACTTATGTTTCTATTTTAAGTAAATTTGTTGAAAAAGTTCTTTAAAAGTGATCACAGTGAACAGACAGACAGACGGACTGGAGGACAGTCTAAAGTTATTTTTTAAACATCCCTGTTATCAAAATATAACATTTTAAAAGCAAAATTTAAAAAAAAAGGAGATAACGATGTCATACATGATGTGAGTGTAACAAAGAACAATTAGTAATGAAGGTATGAATATTGAATATTTATTTTGAAATTGAAGTAAATGAAAGTTAAAAGAACAAATAGGAAAAATTAAAAGTTTAAGGAGGAGATAATTCTGGAAATATGGATGCTAGTTTTATAAACCTTGTCATATTATATGTGGGAGTTTGAAGAAAATTCTATCATGATTGAAGAAGTTGGAGTAAAAATTACCAATTTCTCAAAAAAAACTCTAAGTTCAAAAGGGGCATAATTCTGGAAATAGTATTGAACACTCACAAATGTTATGTGATAATAAGAAACATTCATATGATGTTGAAGTAGATACGTTCAGAAACAAAGGAGTTATTAAAAAAAACAATGTTTTTTTTCATGAAAATTTTAAGTTCAAGGGAGGTAATTCTAATAAATTTTGTGCTAGAGTTGTAAACTTTGTCACATATGATGTGGTTGATGACTAGCAACTTATTTTTAAAGTTTGAAGAAAATACCTTAAGAAATAAAGAACTTATAGTGAAAAAACTTAAAAACTAGAATCAGAAATCTTGAAATTCAGTCTATTTGTTGCCATAGCAACCAGAATTTTCAACACAGGAAGATAAGAAAAGGATGTGCATAATTTCCATACTGCCATCTAACCATATGTCAAGTTTCATAAAAATATTTTCAATACTTTTTGCGTTATCACTGGATCCAGGTTATGTGTAAAATCTGCCATATTTTCAGTCTATTTGTTGCCATAGCAACCAGAATTTTCAGCATAGGAAAAAAAAGAAAAAGACGTGCATAATCTCCATACTGCCATCTATCCATATATCAAGTTTCATAAAAAAAATTTCAGTACTTTTTGCGTTATCGCAGGATCCAGGTTATGTGTAAAATTTGCCATATTTTCAGTCTATTTGTTGCCATAGCAACCAGAATTTTCAACATAGGAAGAAAAGAAAAAGACGTGCATAATCTCCATACTGCCATCTATCCATATACCAAGTTTCATTAAAATATTTTCAGAACTTTTTGTGTTATCGCGGGATCCAGTTTTGTGGACGGACGGACTGACGGACGGACAGACGGACGGACTGACGGACAGACAGACGGACAGACGGACGGAGGGTAAACCTAAAGTCCCCTCCGGTAAACCGGTAGGGGACTTATAAAAGCATACTATTTTGTTTTGATACATTTACTTTCTCTACGCACAGTTGTCATGTGTGTTTAAAAAACGAATCGACCATAAGATTACGGAAAAAATATAAGTGTACCGTTTTTAAATATTAAAATTATTTTTTCATTAGATATATTTTATGACACATAAATAGAAACATAAAATATTGAATCAAAAGAAACCAACCTTTACAGAGTGTTTCAAAGGCTTTTTCAACGTTGATATTTTCTTTTGCCGAGGTCTCTACATATTCCATGTTGTTTTTTACTGAGAATAGAAAGATACGAATTATTTCTTTCAAAAAAGTACAATCAAAAACTATTTCCTTTTTTAAAAATAGTAAAGAAAACATTTGTAAGAACCCTTATTTCTTTTATTCGGTTGTTTTAAAGATGCCTATTACTTTGTTATCAGGGCTTACGGTTCTCTCCAACCGTCTAAGCATTTCTTTCACTGTTGATGGTTGCGACATATAGAGTAAAGAGTTGTAACTGAGGTTTTTTCTCGTTCAGTATAACTTGGAATGTTTGCAATATATAGCAATCAACAACAAGGAAAGAAGTTTGACATTCAGTTTTAGAGCAGAACAATGATTGCTCATCCTTAGACGTCTTGGATAGTATTTACAAATGAAAATATGCTAGTGTGTTCTTCTGAGTAATTTATTTTTACCTTTATTCACATTAGTGCAACATATCAGTAATATACATTCAAAAGTTCTTTTGGCTTTGCTTTCCTTAGAATACCATGGATAAAAGATTTGATCGCTTCTTAACTTAATATTTCCAACTAGGGAATCGATGGGAAAAAGAAAATGGTCTTACGTGCAAGTGACTTGGCCTCTTCTTCTGTTACACATCTTTTCGAAGTTATATCACATTTATTTCCAACAAGCAATTTCTCCACTTCATTTGAGCCATATTTCTGTAAGAAAATGGATAAACTAAGATACAATAAGTATGTATTTCTCCTTACAAGAAATACTTATTTTTAAAGAACAAATAGTTTCTATATGATTATCAATTAACATTAACGTAAAAGTTAAAGCTTAATTGTGTACAGATTCAACGGAATTGGAAATGAGAGAAATGCAAGGTCTAGAATCATTTGTTTTCACCTATGTTAGCTTTTCCTTTAAATTTATTTTTTAAAGTAGATTGGTATACATAAGCAAATTTTCTATCCGAGATGAGCATATATTCCATCTTCAATGGACACATTTCAAAAGGTATTTAAAATATTGATAAAAAAAGAATAAAAATGAACCATTTGGGTAAGCTAATGAAATACTTTTTGACAAAAAATTGAAACCGTTCTAACGAAACTAGGTTGTCAGTTATATGATAAAAAGGTGATTTGTTCTAGAACAATTAAATAATTGTTACAGTATCCGTATTACATCATCCATATATCATAAGTTATATCATATAAAAATACCTCAATATCAGTCACCCAGCTTTCAACTCTTCTGAAAGTGGACCGATCTGTGACGTCAAATACAATTATCACACCTTGTGTCGCTTGGTAGTAACTGCAAAATATATTTTAGATACAAATATATACTTATTAAATACAGAAGAAAATCTCGGTAAACGCTTACAAAATATCTCGTTAAACGCTTACAAATGTATTTATTAATATATCGGTAAACGCTTACATATTTATATAATATCTCGGTAAACACTTACAAATGTATATAATATCTCGGTAAACGCTTACAAATGTATATAATATCTCGGTCAACGCTTACAGAATATCTCCTTTAATGCTTACAAATGTATATAATATCTCTATTCAGATAAAATACACAAAAACAACACATATTTCTTTAATCTTTACTTTTTTCGACTGTTGTCTTCAGAAGAATAACGTACAAAGTATTTGACGTCACGTCGGTTAGGGCGCCAACGTCAACGTGACAAATTTGCACAAAAACGTGAATGAAAAGTAACTAACAAATAGATATGGATCAAAATATACAGCGGGTATTAATAATATAACTATATTTCTACAATATAAAGAAGAGAAAAATGATAAAACCCAACATACCTATATGTCAAAATATTATTATATAATTTTATACATACATTCACTAGAATTAGCGAGAAAGCATTACATTAATTAGCCAGCAAGTTATCTAGAATAATAAAAAAGATAATAATAATAATAATAATAATAATAATAATAATAATAATAATAATAATAATTATAACAAGAACATTATCCATTACATATTATCATCATCACCAGCATCATCATCACCAACACCAATAAAAATAATAATAATTATTATTATAATAATAACACAACCAATAAAAATAATAATAATAATAAAATATAAAAATAAATAATAAAAAGAATAATTGAATAAATGAGTAAGAGAATATGTAAAACTAATTTGTCAAATAAAATCATAAAATAGAAGTGGGGAAAACATAAAGTACAAGAATAGACAATTTGCATAGTATAATATCTCTAAACACAAATGTAGTGTCTTAATACCTTTTTTCTATTTTTAGTGATGATGACCTTGACCAGAGGGGGACCAAACGCAATACAAACCTGGGTCTTCATCATAAGCTTTCTATATACCAAGTTTGATTACAATACCTCAATACTATTTCTTGTTATTTGCCTGAAACCATTTTCTTTTTATTTTCAATAACAATGACCTTGATGTTTGCTTAATCTACCTTCTCTACTGTATTATGAACAATTTATTGTAAATATGTATTTCACCTATATTGTATGATGGCTATACAGTATATGTATACTTTATGCAGCTTTAAGGAACTCAACTGAGGGCCAAAATTTTAAAGACATAGCATTTCAATTTCTTACAACGATCAACTGGGTCACTTAAAAGCAAAACATTTTACAAAAGATAACTAAGATTTATACCCAGAAATAAGTTGTAAAATGATCTGAAATTTTGTACACAAGTTCTGGATTAGACCTTCATCAAATGGAACATTAATCTTGTAAATTATTTCACGCTTCGTCATATCAAAAAACCTCAGTGGAATCCATATAATGGCACATGAATTATTGAACTGAATCGCATTGTAATTATCTGCTCTGTGTGACATGTGATTATGCTTAGATAGCCGAAACAAAAAACAGCTACATTTAAATGGCTTTCAAAAAGAGACATATAATGACATTATACAATATATAATATCCGGAACGATGATAGTTGTTTGTCAACCTAACAGTACATAAAATTAAATAGATGTGATATAGTTATGTTGATTACGGTGGATACAACTTACCCAGTAGTAATCGTACGGAACCTCTCTTCACCGGCTGTGTCCCAAATTTGTAGTTTAACTGTTTTACCATGAAGCTTTATAGTTCTGAATAAGTAATAATTTCATGGTATACAAAGGAATAATAATGTAAATATAATTGCCAAGATTTGGCAATACAGTTGTAGAAAAACGCAATAAATGTTTGATTTTATACATGTTTTTTATTACTGATTTCTAACACGACCCGCATTTTCCCTATTGAACATAGGAGAACCGAATGTGTGTGTTATTATGCAATAAAACACTGTTGACGTTTTTTATTTAGACACGTGACGTAATCACTATAAAATGTGACGTAACCACTGAACATGAGCCGCGCTGAAAATAAGTACGGAAAAAAATCAGGCTAAGTTTAGCTTTATATCAGGTACGGCATCATTTATTTGTTGATGTCGTGTTAGAAACGAAATAATTTATCAAAATTGGTGATTTTATCGTTTGATAAAAATCACTGTTTGTCGTTCGAAAATATCTAGAGAATATATCTATAAAAGTGCCATTATGCTAATTTTTTCAATGCCAAATTGAGCTGAATTGACTGTATATTTCAAGAGATTGACTTATATATAATAGTAATTGAGCAACAGTTGATATCGTAAAATGTTCAGGTTAAAATATAAATCTATCGTAAAATACAAATAAAATGACCTACTGTTTTTATGAATTCCCGATCGATTTATTTTAGAAATGCTCTTCGGCCAGGTGGGTTATTTATCATTCATGTGTAGTAGATTGTAAAATTGAAAAAAATTGCAAAATGTACACTTATTTTTACTTTTTCTTACGTATTCACTTACTATATAAACTAAGATGGACATAATTTATCATTAAGCTTCCATTTAAACATGTTTATTAAAGAGTTTATATTTCTGAATTTATGTTTCTAAAGTCGGGAACAAAAATAAATTACTTCAAACGGAAGTCCACACCTATGGAGGCAATGTATGATTCGCTGAAAGTATCATCAACGTATCTCAGTAATAGAGCTGATTTCCCTGTCTTATCATCACCAATTACCAAAACTGTAACGAAACAATAAAGATGTGTAGCAACTTACTTGTCATAAAATATTGCAAACAAAGTTTCAATATAAGCACGATATGCCTTTGTGACAATGCAAATAATTGAAATAGTCGTACTTCCGTGTAACCAGATATACAAAATGAACTGTGTGTATGTAATAGTCGTACCTCCGTGTTACAGGTTATACACTTTGAACTTGCAGTTTGGAACTAGTGGTTTAGGCGCCTTCATACCGAAAAATCTTTCCTTTAAAGCCTAAGCTTGGTAACATTTTCTATATACACAGGTCAGTACTTTTTACTTTGCAGGAAGCGGGCAAACGAAAACAAGTTAAATTGTTTTCTTTATCGGACGTCAATAAATGAAAATAATGTCAACTTTATAATGAAATTACTCAATACTCTTCGTCTATAAATGATATAAGCTATACAAAGTGGTCCTGAATTACATATCAACAGATCAATATTAAAATCAATGTACTTCATTATTATTGACCTTACTATTATACTTTACTTTTATACTAAATTTATAAATATACACACCCCAATTGGTATAGATTATTTTTAATATCAAAGTTCAATACATTGGTTTAGTAAACACTGTCTTTACCGACAGGTATAAACCATTTAAAACACTAGTATAAATAAACACAATACAAACATAAAGCTTTAAAACATCCAATGTGTTTTCTGCATTTACTTAATACAAATCTATTTTAGACAAAAACTTTCCAATTTCCCCTTTCTACAGTATCACTTAATTAAATTACAATGTATTGATGAACACATATTTAAAGAGTACATATTTGTATATAAAACGTATACATGTTTCATATTTTTTAAGTCAAAATATAAACTAAAATACACTACTTTTGAATAGTAAATCGTAGTCCGCCATAACTCCGAAAGTATTTTCTATAAGTCCACGTTAAATATGATTTGTTAGCTCCTTTACTATATTTGAGCTAAAACTCCATTTTTTAATTTACATGTATGTACATACGATCAAAATAGCCGTTATAATATCCAATATCGATAAAGTACCGCTTTTGCATTAATGCGTAAAATCTATTTTTAGATATTGTTAACGGGTAGTACAAAAGAAAGACTCTCATAACACTCATTGTACGCGGAATAAATGCAGTTCTTATTTTCCAATTTCTTTAAAAAGAATCTAAAAGCAAACACCACCCCCAACCCCAGGAGAAATAAATAAAGAGAAAGGAAACAACAAAAAACAAACTATTATATTATTTTCAAACAAATATCATTTGGGTTAACGTTATATTGCAATACATTATCCTTTAAATATAAACTATCTAAAAGTAGTACATTTCTGTTTATTACTTACTTGTTCCTTTACATTACAAATAACCAGGGTTTAAAAAAATGTTAAATGTCGATGTCAAAAAAGCCCTAAAGTACTAAGCTTGACTATATTACCTGAGGCTTGAATATAGTCAAGCTAAACAAACCCACGTGCGTGGAAATTATGATAATAAGGGATATCTGACAGGTCTGAAAATTTAAATTTTATTTCATAAATTAAATTATGACATTTTAAATTAGGACAAATTTTGTTATTGTTATCTCTTCTTCAAATGTATATGCTTGCAACTATGTCAGTGAGCAGGAAAAAGGCTACATAACGTTTGCATGAAAGATTTACCACATTTAATGAAATTAAAACTGTGAAAATAAATTTGAAATTTAAAAAAATTAAAAGAAAATTATTGTTGTACCATGTGTTTAGCAACATACTAAAGCTTGTTGCGTTTTTTTCAATATTCATTTAAAATGATAACTTTTAAAGAAGTACATCTTAAATTATTGATAAATCATGTATTGCAAGGAATTTAGAAGTGTGAGTTTTCAAACTGGTTACATTTTCTAATAGAGTGAGAGAAAGGCAAGCTCATTCCAGAGATCGTAGAGGCCCAACCAGCATCGGCCATGGGATTCGAATAAAACACCGTAGTAGCCTATCGTACTACACATTATAGGCACTGATGATTCAGCAAAGGATTAATGCTGTCGTTATCAATATGTAAATATTCATTATTGTCTTATATTTCAATGAAGCAGAGCTTACAATTGAAAAGGACAAATGTGTTTCACAATCTTTGAAATTTAGGCATTTTTAGTGTAGTGAAATTTAGTTTTGCTGGTTGCAGTGTGAATTTGTTAATATATACACATTTAAAACACTCTCTAGTCATTTAGTATTTAAGTTCGTAGATAATTGGCTCATTTAGAATAACACAGTTGGTTTGGTTGTTGTTGTTGTAGCTTTTACAACAGTTGAATTAGGTTAGGTTTATAATGTCTAAACTGCTATTTAAGACATGCATTTGTAAGCACACGATATTTAGCCCTCCTGTGTGAATTAACAAATCAAGCCATTAGACAAAATTTTCTTTCTTTATATATACAAAAATCACTCCAAAAATACCACTCCTAATTTCCTTCTACTAGTGAAACATATTTTCTTCAGACCTTGCGATTACCAAAGGCTTGGTTTGAGTATAGACCATTGCTAATCTTGGTTCAGATCTATGCAAGAAGTCCTCCAGCTCGGTTTGGCAGCAGCTTTGTCAAGACACGTTGAGAGGGTAATAACTTATGTCTAGTCTTAAACTTCAGCTATTGACGATAACGACTCCCATTGTTCGGGCAATATTTGGGAGAGATTTAGATGTATATGTGGAGACAATTTCTCTAGTTCTGAGTAAGGCGAAGTTTCATCTATGTCCATCAATTAGTCCTGAGAAATCCCATTTGTCTTATATCTTATCATGGTCATGGCCCAGTGAAGTTTCGTACTTTTGTTCTATAGAAAATTAGTCACATTTTAGGCTTAATTTTTGACTCCGCGGTTCTTGATGAATTATATACTGTCTTAAGCTTTGAACATCAACACTATCCAAGTCAAATGAGGCTCGAAATATAATATTTATGTTAGCCATCTTCATTCTGTTGTTACACTGTTTAAATTCACCACTTTAAAACCTCCTGACTGCTGATGGGAAATACACCTTTCATCATTTCGCCAACAAATGAGGCCCTAGCAGTGGGTGGCATGGTATTATCGTACATCAATAACATTAATGCTGACGCAGAAAAGGAACACCCTGAAGGGTTGCTTTTTAATCATTTGTCACTATTTTACAGAGGAGTAACTTTACGTAACTTCCGACTTTTTACGATGCACTTGCGTATTAGGTAGAAACTCTTCAGTCTGTGCGTTATCCGGATACATTCAAACATATAACAAAATCTTATTTTACACTTTAGAAAACTTTGCGTTACCTACGAAGAGCATGAGTGCAAGGTGTGTATATTTATTTACTCGAAATTTCGAGTTACTAACTCAAAAATTCGAGTTATTTATCTCCAAATTTTGACTTACTAACTTAAAAGCCTTTCACCGTCGGTTTGGTCAGTTTGACTGTACTCCCCGAGGCTAGCACCGGGCATGGATTTCCTTCAAGAACTACTTAAAAGGCCTATCATCGTAAGTTTGGTCAGTTTGAGTGCATTTCCTGACTGTGCCACCGAGAAATGATTTTCATTTACTATACAGAACTACTAAAAAGCCCTTTTACCGTGTGTTTGATCACTTTGACTGTATTCTCCTGACGCTAGAAACGGGCATGGATTTCCTTTAAGAACAACTAAAAAGACCTATATCTGTTGGTTTGTTCAGTTTGATTGTATTCCCTGAGACTAGAATATGCCATAGATTTCCGTTATGAAATGAACAAAAGGCCTATCACCGTGCGTTTGGTCAGTTTGACTATATTCCTTGACTGTAGAACCAGGCATTGATTTCCGTTAAGAACTATTAAAAGACCTATCACAGTCGGTTTGGTCAGTTTGACTCTATTCCCTGAGGCTAGAACCGGGCATGGATTTCCTTTAAGAACAACTAAAATGCCCTATCGCTGTGGGTTTGGTCAGTTTTACTGTATTCCATGACTGTAGAACCGGGTATGGATTTCCTTAAAAAACATTTACCAAGGCATATCACCGTGAGTTTGGTTAGATTGACTGTATTCCCAGAGGCTAGAAATGGAAATGGAATACCTAAAAGGCCTATCACCGCGGGTTTTGGCTGTTTGACTATATTAGCTGAGGCTAGAATCGGGCATGGAGTTCCTTAAAAAACTAATAAGAAGTCTATTATTATTGGTTGGGTCAGTTTGTCTGTCTTCCCTGACTGTAGAAGCGAGAATGGTTTTCCTTAAAGGACTACAAAAGGAACGTATAACTGTGGATTTGGTCTGTTTGACTGTATTTCCTGCTAAAACCGGGCATAGATTTCCGTAAGAACTACTCAACAGGCCTTTCAGCGTGGGTTTTGTCAGTTTGTCTGTAATCCCATTAGCCATAACCGGGCAATGATTTTCGTAAAAAACTACTAATAAGTCCTTTCACAGTTGGTTTTGTCAGTATAGCTGTATTTTCTAAGGCTAGAACCGAACCATGGATGGTTTTCCGTTAAGAAATACTTAAGAGAGCTATTTCTGTTGGTTTGGTCAGTTTGTTTGTATTTCCTGACTGCAGATCCGGGCATGGATTTCCGTTAAGAACTACTTAAAATTCCTATCATGGGTTTGTTCAGTTTTGCCGTATTCCCTGAGGCTAAAACCGGTCCCGGATTTCCTTTAAGAACAACATAAAAAGCCTTTCACAGTGTGTGTTCAATTTTACTTCATTTCTTGACCTACAACCGGGCATGGATTTCCGTTAAGAACGACTAAAAGGCCTATCACTGTAAGTTTGGTCAGTTTGACTGTATTTCCTGACTGTAAAACTGGGCATGGAATTCCGTTAAGAAGTACTAAAAGGCGTATCACAGTGGGTTTTGTCATTTTCTGTTTCTCTGGATTCCCTTAGTGTAGAAGCGGATATGGATTTACGATGATAACTACTTATAAGGCATATCACCGTGCGTTTGGTCAGTTTTACTGTCTTCCCTGACTGTAGAGCCAGGTATTGAGTTCCCTTAAGAGCTGCTAAAATGGTCCCACAGCGTTGGTCTGGACAATTTGAGTGTATTCCCTGAGGCAAAATCCTTGCATAAATTTTCATTAACAACTACTACCAAGGTCTATCACCGCAGGTTTTGTCAGTGTTGGACTGTATTCACTAAGGCTAGAATCAGGAATGAATTTGCTTTAAGAAATTCTAAAAGGCCAATCACCGTAGGTTTGGTAAGTTTGACTTTTTTCTCTGGGCCTAAAGGCAGGCAAGGATTTCCGTTCAGACAATTCAAATGCATATCACCCACAGTGAAAGGCTTTTAAGTCGCTTTTAACGGAAATCCATGCCCGGTTTTACAGTCACGGAATACAGTCAAACTGACCAAACCGACGGTAATAGGCCGTTGAAGTACTTCTTAAAGGAAATCCATGCCTGGTCCTTCAGTCAGAAAAAAACCCACGATGATAGGACTTTTAAGTTGTTCTTTTCAGACATCCATTGCTGGTTGCAGTCTCAGGGAATACAGTCAAACTGGCCAAACCCATGGTTATAGGTTTTTAAGAAGTTCCTAACGGAAATCCATGCCCAGCTCAAAAGTCAGTAAATAAAGTCAAGCTGACGAAACCGGTGGTGATAGGCCTTTTAGTAGTTCTTAACGAAAATCCTTACCCGAATCTAGCTTTAGGGGATTCAGTCAAACTGACAAAACCTACGGATATAGACCTTTTTAGCTCACCTGAGCATAACGTGCTCATGGTGAGCTATTGTGATCCCCCACCGTCCGTCGTCCGTCGTCGTGCGTCGTGCGTTGTCAACAATTTCTTTAAACAACATCTACTCAAAACCAATGACTGCACAGTAACCAACTTTTACAGCAATAATTCTTGTGTTGTCCCCTGCCAAAGTTGTTCAAATGTTCCGGTCTGTTGCATAAGTAGGTCACGGGGCTAGAAAAGGAGTTTAAAAAATGCAAACTTAAAAATCCTCTTGTCTGAAAGGAAAAGGCCTAGAGCTTTGATATTT